TATATTCCATATCCACATATCAGTACACAGCCTGGGTGTTTATGGACAGTAATATGGTAATGGGATACGGCCAAGTTATATATTCGATAGCCACATATCAGTACACAGCCTGGGTGTTTATGGCTAGTAATATGGTAATCAGATACGGCCAAGTTATATATTCCATAGCCACATATCAGTACACAACCTGGGTGTTTATTACTATAAATACGGTAATGGAGTACTATTCCATTACCACATATCGGTACATAACCTGGGTGTTTTTAAATATAAGTACAGTAATGGGATACGGCTGAGTTACATTTCCATAGCCACATATCGGTATACAAACTCCCCACAATTCCTGCCTACACCAGTAAACTGTATATTACATAACATCCTATTACTTTTTTTTCCAACTTCCTGTCTGCATCATCTAACTCCATATGACATCATCTATTCACCCCCTCCTCCCCTTGCAATTTCCTCATACATGGATAGACAGTTATGTTTAATTACTCATTTTAGACACGTCCAGGTACATAGTGCAAACAAATTGTTGCTCAGGAAATTCCAATAAAGCTGAATTACCAGTTTATTTATTGGCCATAAACAACTTTTATAATATGAAGTACAATGCATAAGAGAACAGGTGCTTAGATTTCATCCCTATAGAAAGCTGATATTTTGGTCAGGTGTTCAACTTTTACTTTTGATTTTTGAATTACTGAGGGAGTGTGATACTTCAGTGAATATCCTGAAAGTGCCTTAGTGGTACAAACACAATTTCACAGCGATGCTACACCTGTTTATAAAGTTCCATCAAACTTCCCCAAGTGATTCATAATGTAATAAACATGAAAACAGTTATTTCACCATCAATTTGTGCTGATTATGCAAGTTTTTTTTATCACCTGCTGCTATTCCCATGTGGTAAAACCTACTTTTGAGTCATATTACTTACATATTCATGTTTTTGAGTTTCTGAAAATACCCAAGATTGTTAACGTTATTCTAAAATTTCCGGAGTTTATAAACTTTCATCAGCCATTGCACTTGAGTTACCTGCAGGTACACAGATGCAAATGTTAAGGTATCAAAGTTGTAAATGACTTTTCACTTATCGGTCAATATTTCTGAGTTACACAGGAGTTACGTTTCAGAAGTCAAATGAATTTATTAACACAACTTTCACTTCTCCCCGAGTTATACAGGTGTTAATTTTCAGAAGTCATACAGATGTGTTACTCATCTATCACTATACCAGTGTAACGTTTCAGAAGTCATACAAATTTGTTACTGATTTGTTACTTTTCCTGAGTTTTACAGGTGTTAGTTTCAGAAATTGTACATGTTTGTTACTCATTTTTCACTATTTTTGAGTAACACCGGTGTAAAGATTCATAAATTGCACAAGTTTGTTAACATTCACCTGTCTGTGTGCCTTAGTTACGTAGGTGTGGTATGATGACTGAGTTTCTACCTGTAGCCAACAGGTAAATGTCAAAGGCTGTGTCATTGTTTGGACCATCTCTGATCTCCCTACCTCTGGGCTCACCTGAAAGCTCGTTAGTGACAGTAATCCACCCTGACCTCTATAAATCACACACAAACTACTAAAGACAAAAACCTCAAACTTTTCACTTGACTACGGTAAAGTGTAGTCTCGGCACATTCATAGCCATGCACTAATGTTTGATGTTGTTTCTGACTCAAACTATTTAAAACTAAGCTTTTAACTCTTAATTAATTATCATCGAGTGACATCTGGTTTACACTAGCAATCCTAAACCTCAAACAAGTTTACAGTGTGAAAAACGAAAAGACTTAAACAAGATTTACAGTGAACATCAAGGTTAGGGAGAGTGATTGGTTTTGTTTGTTTGTGTTAAAATACGCCTATTAACAGCTATGGTTGTAAGTCCTATTAACAGCTATGGTTGTAAGTCCTATTAACAGCTATGGTTGTAAGTCCTATTAACAGCTATGGCTGTAAGTCCTATTAACAGCTATGGTTGTTTAAGGATGTGCCAAGTTTTGGTGGTGGAGGAAAGCCGGAGCTCCAAGAAAACAAGAATTCCACGGAAGTGGATGTGTCGCCTGCGCAGGAAGCTGGGAGATTATGAAGAAATAGATATACTTTTCATTTTAAGAAATAATGTTAAAAGTAAGCAATAATCATAGATTATGTTTTTGGATGGCATCATTTTGTTATATAATCTGTTATGCTGGGAAATATAATCTGTTATTCTGGGAAGAATACTCTGAGTTTTAAGGAACTTGCTATGGATACTCATTGTTTCAATTCCAAGTTTAATTTGTATGATTTGTCGGATGGTTTCCCATAAATAAATGAATAAACTTGTGGATTATTATGTTAAACAGCTAGTGTTGTCAATAACATTTGGAGTAAGACGGCATTTCAGAGGTATACACGGTGGGTCAAGTGGTAGATCGAAGCCGTCCAGTATAGTTTTAGTGAAGTTTCTATCTAGAGTAACAGTGACCTTGACCTTTGACCTTCGGACCTGAAAAGCAATCCCAAGCAAGCACTTTTGGTAAGGAAGCACTGCATGAAGTTTGAGTTTGATCGGCCCAAGGAAACTAAGTTATCACACAAAAACAGATTTTCTATTTATAGTGACAGTGACCTTGACCTTTGACCTTCAGACCTGAAAAGCAATCCCAAGCAAGCAGTTTTGGTAAGGAAGCACTGCATGAAGTTTGAGTTTGATCGGCCCAAGAAAACTCAAGTTATCGCACGAAAACCTCTGTTCAGCCGCCACCGCCGACAGAGCGATACCTATGTGTCACCAGCTTTTCGCAGGCGACACAAAAACCACCAACCTATGGCCAGTACCTGGCGACTGCCCAACATAGGCCTTAAACCTGCTACCCAGTGGTGGATGGCTAGTGGTAGCAGATTGTCACACGTGCACGCCTTAACCACTTGGCCACCGCGGCCCTAGGGAGAGTGAAGTCATTATTTGTATATTCACCACAAATCATTATTGTAAATCACTATATTTTTCATGACATTAATTTTTTACCATTTTTTTCATTATTCACAAAGTGACATGTCTACAAATTTAAATCCTCTACAATTGCTCATTCCAGAGATAAGTAGACGCATAAAACCTACAGGCAAATTCTGCAAAATAAAAATACATGCGAAAAAAAATAATTATTTACAGTAACCTGGGCTTCACACTTTGCATATTGCAAAAAAAAATGTTTTAAATACCGTATATCAGCTTGTAAATAACATTTGTGGTTTAACAAAACAGCCTAATCATATGTTTAATGAATAGATATTCTCCTCCATATAGATACCTGCCTTAGAGATCACCTGTCCGTAACTGACTGTTAAAAGAATTCCCTGTAATTACAGTCAGACCTGCCTCCGAGACGGTCTGGTTCACATCTATCTAAATAGCCGTCTAAATAGTCCCAATAACTTCACTGGAACCTGCCTACAGAGACCACATCATTTCTAGCTAACATATTCCCTGTAACTAATTATAACCTGCCTTACAAGACAGTGTATCATTTCTAGCTATTTACATATTCCCTTAACTAACCTGCCTACGGAGACCACATCATTATCAGTGATTTACATATCCCCTGTAACTCTAACCTGCATACGGAGACCACATCATTATTAGTTATTTACATATTCCCTGTGACTAACCTGTCTATGGAGACCACATCATTATCTGTTATTTACATATTCCCTGTACCTCTAACCTGTCTACGGAGACAACATCATTATCAGTTATTTTCATATTCCCTGTAACTAACCTGACTACGGAGACCACATCATTATAAGTTATTTACATATTCCCTGTACCTCTAACCTGTCTACGGAGACAACATCATTATCAGTTATTTCCATATTCCCTGTAACTCTAACCTCCCTACGGAGACCACATCATTATTAGTTATTTACATATTCCCTGTACCTCTAACCTGTCTACGGAGACAACATCATTATCAGTTATTTTCATATTCCCTGTAACTAACCTGACTACGGAGACCACATCATTATAAGTTATTTACATATTCCCTGTGACTAACCTGTCTATGGAGACCACATCATTATAAGTTATATACATATTCCCTCTAACTCTAACCTGTCTACGGATACCACATCATTATCAGTTATCTACATATTCCCTGTAACTAAACTGTCTACGGAGAACACATCATTATCAGTTATTTCCATATTCCCTGTAACTCTAACATGCCTACGGAGACCACATCACTATCAGTTATTTACATACTCCCTGTAACTAACCTGTCTACAGAGACCACATCATTATCAGTTAGTTACATATTCCCTGTATCTCTAACCTGTCTACGGAGACAACATCATTATCAGTTATTTACATATTCGCTGTAACTAACCTGTCTACAGAGACCACATCATTATCAGTGATTTACATATCCCCTGTAACTCTAACCTGCATACGGAGACCACATCATTATCAGTTATTTACATATTCCCTGTAACTAACCTGTCTACCAAAACCACATCATTACCAGTTTAAATATTCCCTGTAACTTCCCTCAGAAACCACTTGTCCACACTACCAGGTTAAGAATTCCCAAACCATCGACAGGTTGACATAATGAGTGCCTATCTATAAAAGAACATTATAACTTTATATTGTTAACATATTGCACTCTTATTTTCGCTATATTTGAGGCATGAAAAACTATGCGAACCTTGCAGATTTCTGCCATTTTGATAATAAAAGTTGGTTCTTCACTACTAAGTGTAGATAGAGTTTAAGTTATAGTACTGTTAACTATAAATTGACATTCATGAAATTGCAGCAAAATTGTTCCTGAAATAAAACCAAAAATCTTTTAGCCTTGAAATTAAAACAACTAACACAGTAACATAATTGCTGCTCAAGAAGCTGAAAATGAAAATCCAAGTATTTATTTCACAATGAATTTAAAATATTTGATACCATAAAATGCAACACTGACTTGCTGAAACATTAAAGACTTACCTTGCAATGGTCTGAACTTGAATCCGACGGGACTGACCCGATAAGGAGCTATACTTCCACTGTTAACCGCACTTAATAATGTATTGTACAACCGCATACGATCATAGTTCTTTTCCGTCACAAGGTCGAAGGTGACAACCAAAGATCCAGGACTGAAAACCACGAAAATCAAAAATTTTAGACAGAGATTTTTATGCAACATGACGAGTCTCCAATGTCACTGTGTGTGCATCGCTGTGCTAAACAGTGCTAGGCGATAACTTTACACGATTTTTTTATGCTGTGTCTTAAACCTGTGATCTTGAATTCATCCCCCTTAGCTACTGTTCAGAGATGGAAAGAATTATGAATAATGACCAAGGTCTTTCTCCAGCTGCTCGAGGTGCTAAGCTAGACTGCTACTCCAGCACGGGCCGACACACTGTCATCACGAAAATACGCGTATTATATTATAAAACTTGTCACTTATCTCGAAAAGCATGAATGTAATAGTTGAAAGGCTGTCCTTTTACACCCTGGCCTTTTTTTAAATTTCAATTACAGCTAGTTTTATTTTGTTTGATGGGCAGACACCACTTAGATCCATGCGCTTCAAATGTCAGCCAATTAGGAGGGCAAACAACATTATTAGCATGCAATCTCTCCATTCATCATCGGCCCATGCTACAGAATATCGAGTAAATTGTCGGGGACGTCATGCAGAAAATTTGATCTCTGATCTAAACAATGTACAATAGAAATTAAAACCGTTATTGCAAAATGAAACCATTTTTTTCTTCAATGAGTGTGTGCTTAATTAGGGAATAGAAACGTTTGAAGATGGAAAGCTTTTCATTTTTTTGAACAGTTTTGTTTACACAAAAGGATAATCTAACATCTCATGATGCCCAAAGCTAAGAGAAATTTCATGATGGGTTAGTATAGAGGGTAACAGGAAATTTAATCTGTGTCCTTTTTCAAGACAAGTGTTTGACGGCATTGTCCAAATGTAACTCATCTCCAGTTCAAACAGCTACAAATCATGGGAGGTATTTTGTTCTGTTGTTGTCCATGTCATAAACAGCCACAGGTCTTTGACCACAGAGGTTTATAATGAAGTCACTGATCCTTGATGTTAGACTAGCCGCTGTTCAACAGCCACGCACAAAGAGAAACAATGCTTATTGTACAGTCACAGTATAGCAGATTTATTTTAAACAGTTGGTAAATATTGCAAACTAATTTTTGAAAACAAAGCCATGTTATTTCCCTTGATAACTAATTGTCTTGAAAATATAGGTCACCGTGACCTAGTTTTAGTGTACAACACACTTCATGTTTTAAGTATTGTAATCCTGCATGGAAATGTAAAAAAACTATGGCCTGGACCTTGTTCGTTGTGCAATTCGCCTTTAAGACAAGATTTAAATATGACCATCAACCTGCCGTAAAAATACACGTGAATTTTGGCCAGTTTCACACTTGGTTGTTACGATACCTGCCTGCATAGCTCATACAATGATTCTTATAATTAGGTATTGAAGGTAGAAACACAACATTTAGTACCATTTACACGTATACGCCCAAATATGGCCATCCTACAGTTTTTCAATATTAACAGAAACTTAAAACAAAATGCTGACTTTATTTCTGAATTCCAGATTCAAATCTATCTCGGTATGCTGAAGGAACTCTTAAATCATTAACAAATTAGCAACTAAGTAATTTGCTTTTTTACACAAAACTTTGAAAAGAACAGATACTTTCAGTAAGATTCTTGAAGGATATCTTCAAATGCAGTGATATCATCAGAGGCATTTCAGTAGAAGTTTTAACCCTCTCACCACTGATGACCTTTATGGACTCATCCCAATCAATGCATGGTAGAGTCTACTAAAGTTAAATAGCGGTAAAGGGGTTAAATGGGATCAGAGATCACTTCCAATGGTCAGTCAAATACGAGTAAAGCTCTTCCTTAACCCAGATTTATACATACAACGGTTGAAGATAGTGATAAATCTGTTTTCTAAATTGAAACAAAGGTATTTCTTTGCTGATATCTCAAGAAATATTTAGATGTATTGAATTGAGAATCATTCACATTTGAGTATTTTACAGCCTCAAAATCATTATATGTGCTGCTATAACTAGATTTTGGTGGTATTTAATTTTTAAAAAAAAAAATGTTTTCGAATAACAACACGTAGTCCCTGTCTTCCTCCCTAAGCCAGCCCTGAGCTCTGCCCGAGCTGGGAGTAAGAGAGCTCTAGCCTGTCTCTGTGGTATGTCTAAATGCCAATAAAAAGGTTTGAAATTCACACACATCAGCAGATCTCATTCAGTATGAAGAGCCCTAGTGTGATGGTTTTATAGCCGGGTTATTACTTTGGTATGACTAAATATTTAACTTCCAAAACTTGTGGCATTCTGTGACTGTCTGTGTTATCCTCATGGAGAGATTTTCTCTGGGCCTACAGCTTGTTTGTTTGTTTGTTTGAGTGCTTTTAACTTGCTGAAGACCACTTCACTACCCAGTACAGTCTGTCTCCTGTGGTTTTATACCTTTTTACAATCAGTTTCAATTTTTATCTTCAGGGTTTTTTAACAAAGTTTTAGCCATAATCAAAAGAAAGTGACCAAAGGCTCCTAAAGGTATATGTTCCCACCCCACTTTTTCACCACATTTTGACTTTAGCCTTTCCAGATACAGTCCCATCAAAGACACATACATAGATAGTTTCTACCACCTGGTCATGAAAAACATATCTCTCAAGTTTCATAAGAAAAGGATGTTTATTGTTAATTTAGAAGTAATTGTCTGGACATTCCTAACAATTATTTGACATTTGACCCCTTGACCTGACATTGATCTTTATGGGGTTCAGACATGAACATTTTGAGTGACAAACATCTGGTCTTTAACAACAAATCTTTGGAGTTTCATTGAAAAACATTTGATCCAGAAAATCATTACCATGACTTGACCTTTGACCCTTTGCCCTAACCTTGACCTTTAATATTTCAGACCTGTTACATGACCCACTTAGTGGTCATAATAAACACTAGAAAAGGTATTGACGGACACATGCACTGATGAACAAGCAAAGTGACTGCTACTCCACCTCTAATCAAAGGGAAGATATAACAAAAAAAAGATGGAACTAATTCACGATTATGTCCAGGGTAATCATTTTCCACAATAATTATATTATACTTATACTTTGTAATGCTTGCAATCGAATTGGATTGGTCAAACATGGAATCATCTTTTTAGGTGCTAAACCTTGATCAGACCTGCAGGATCAAACGTTGATAGTGCAATGGCCTTTTTTCAGTATTCTTATGATACACTGCTTTAGGCCATTTTAATTTATAAAGTTCCCTCATCAATAATTATGGTTTTCAAGAATAAAGTCTTGGATTTTGTTCACATTGCAATATATAACCACTATGCTATAGATAGGCTTACCAAGCTACTTATGTATTTCAACATCCAAGTATCCTTTTTTGGGGGAAAAGTACTGGTATTTTTCAGAAATGTCATCTGTTATGATATAGACAGATTTCACAATACATAAAATACAACAGCTAGACTGTCAATGTATAATTTGTGTAACCATAGTTACCTAAATTTGATGATAACAGCATACTGATCTCCGTCCACGTTCCTGAACAGGTTCTCAATGGCTTGAGAGATGGGGTCAGCAAGTGTGGTGAAGGCCTCATTGCTACTGAATTCCAGCGCAGTTTCATAGGTCAGGTCGGTAAAGTTTATAGACACCCGGTAGTATTCTGTAAATCAAACAATACATTTGTAATATAGGATTTAACTTCAGAGTTCTGTACATTTATTGCCCTTGTATGATGGAAATGAGACTAACTCATTCACACCTGAAATTTCGTAATGAACTATTCCGATCGCTGAATTGGAAGAGTTCAAATGTGTCTTAAGGGGGAAATGAGCTAATGAGCTAATCATGTTGCCCGTAGAGTGAAGTACTGGAAGAACATCATTAAGCAGAGCTAAAATCATACATATCTCTGTCTGTCATATAACTATTCATGACAAAAACAACCATTTAAAACCAACATCAACAGTTTATCAATGACTAAAATTTGACCCTATGAGGGATATGTGATTGAGTGCGAGGGAAATATGATCATGTAGGAGGGAAACATAAACATGTATTACAGAAAAATGATCATGAAAGAAACAGTTCGTGCAAATGAGGGAAACATGACATACATGAGGGAAACATGACATACATGAGGGAAGATGACATACATGAGGGAAATGTGATGTTTTATTTTACATTCAATCATCAAATCAGATAATCATTATTGTAGCAATAACAGTGTATGTAATTAACTCATTCAACCCTGAAATTTCATAATGAACTATTTCAACCTTTGAATTGGAAGGGTTCAAATGTGTCTTCAGGGGTGAATAAGTTAAATGTATATACATACAGAAAGTCTGCAGACATAACAAACACCCTGTTGAACAAAGGCAAACTGTATCTACACACATTCTTAACCCTTTCACCCCTATGTAACTTTAGTAGACTCTACCGTGCATTGATCTGGGGGAGTCCATTATGGTCTACAGTGGTGAAAGGGTTAAACTACTTAAGTTTAAACTTTCATTTATATTTTCTCTGCTTCTTTAGACAAGAAATGATTATAAACAAACAAAATTGAGTCATTTGAAGTAGCAACTACAAAACAAGCTGATTTCCAGCAGTAACATTCTAGTTGGCTGGACAGGTAGATGGATGGGTGGAAAGTTTGAAACACGAATGAAGAAACAAAAGAACATATAAAAACTGTTGTAAAACTATTTTATGTAACCAGGGTGTCAAACATTAATACATTGTCAGGCTTGGTACTTGGTCGTGTACAGTATATTATCAAGGCTTTCACAACAGATTATGTTTCTGACGTACTCAATGACACACACCTACAGAGTACTTAACGTTGACGTTTTATGATACTGGCCAGATATAGGACAGGAGTAAATGTAGACGCCGGACCTGTTCTCTGGCACACCAAACATAAACAACAACGGCTGTAATAAAGACAGCAGCACATGCCTACCACACCATGTGGTAACCTGCTGGTGATGTAATGCTCACACGGACACGCCTTGCACCTGAAATGCACATGTAATTCCCCACACCACAAACAGGAACCATACATGTTTTAGGTCCTACGTAGGATGTTGCTTTTTGTGTCATTAAATTAACTCATTCACCCCTGAAGACACATTTGAACTCTTCGAATTCAAAGGTTGGAATAGTTCATTATAAATTTTCAGGGGTGAGTGAGTTAACATCATTAATCATTCAGATCGTTTTCATACTTAATTTTTTTAATTTCTGTATAATACCGTCATCAAATGGCCAAAACAACTTGAAGTATCCTAGGTTACATTTGGCTACTACTATTGTGTACACTTTTCTTTAGATTGGAAACCTCCTGTACCAGGAACCGTATTTACCATACATGGCACCCAGCGCATGTAAAATTGATGATTTAAGGGTGTAAAGTAATATAATTTCTTTATAGAAAAAAAACTTTTGCATGTATTTCCTTTTTTGCTTCAAAATGTGTAGAAATAGATTTCTTCCCTTATCAAGTTTTTTTAAAAAGATTTTAAGAATGTATTGGCATTGACACTGTCCACTGGAAAATAAAAATCCTAAATTTGTTCCCAGAGAAATTAAAATGGGATACCATGCATGTAAGAGTCGAAGGAAATGGCCAACGGGGTGGCTGAATTGTGTTTTTTTCACAGTGTAAAGTCGAGGCTGGTTGCTATTATGGCAAATACAGTATTGTCCATGCCAATCTCTTCCAACTACACCATCTATTTATTTAAGTGGTTTGATCTACAGACTTGTAGACATAACAGAACAGTGGAAAACATTCTTTTTCATAAGAACAACAAATGATATTAAAATCAAAGGGATTTTATCATTATACAATATGGCTACCAAGTATGGATAATGGTCTGTCTGGCACTGTAATGTTTGATAGGGTAGAAAATCAAAGGCACAGCATAAATACAACAACATAAACATACAGCTCTGGGTAATTACCAATGCCATAATGGTGAAAACAGACTGAAAGATTGTAACATTTTCCACAATCCTTGGCTTCCAAGATATGAACATGTGTGCATATATGATGAATTTTCAACCGATATTCTTTTGCGTTAAATGTGCTATGAAGATAAACTTAACCCTATTTCAACTTGGATATTCTTTTGTGTAAGATGAAACTTATCCCTTAACAATCAAAAGTTATTCAAAATTGTATTTCCTTGATGTCTTCCACAGTTTCTTGCCTATTCTATGGGCTTTCTATACACTTATCTACAAGCCTACATATAGATATCTGATTGAGCGAATCCAGTTTCATATATCAGAGAGATTAAACTAAATGTGTAATAAAAGATAATTCACTTATGACCAGATTTTTTTTGAGTTTTGAAAGAAAAGAAAACCTGTTATGTGTCAGTTGTGATTCATTAAAGATGGTGGTGGGAGATCTAGACAAACCAGGGGAAACTGGTGCAAAGAGGTTCTCAGAGACATAACACAGCTTGTGACTAATTCCAATTCAATTTTGTTGGGTTTCAATGGCTCTGCAGGGGCAGTGATGGCCAGTAGGTTGCTACATCTGTATATTCCTTCAGATTACACTATACCCCTAATAACTAAGCCTGTTTACCAAAGAACTTGTGTTACCACTATATCCTTAATAACTACCCCTGTCTACAATAGAACTTGTGTTACCACTATACCCCTAATAACTATACCCCTGTCTACAATACAACTTGTATTACCACTATACCCCTAATAACTACCCCTGTCTACAATAGAACTTGTGTTACCACTATACCCCTAATAAATACCCGTCTATAATAGAACTTGTGTTACCACTATACCCCTAACAAATATTCATGTCTACTATAGAACTTGTATGACCACTATACCCCTAATAACTATACCCCTGTCTACAATACAACTTGTGTAACCACTATACCCCTAATAACTACCCCTGTTTACCATAGAACTTGTGTGACCACTATATCCCTCATAACTACCCCTGTCTCCAATAGAACTTGTGTGACCACTATACCCCTAATAACTAACCCTGTCTACTATAGAACTTGTATATGACCACTATACCCCTAACAAATACTCATGTCTACTATAGAACTTGTGTTACCACTATACCCTTATAACTACCCCTGTCTCCAATAGAACTTGTGTTACCACTATACCCTTATAACTACCCCTGTCTACAATAGAACTTGTGTTACCACTATACCCCTAATAACTACCCCTGTCTACAATAGAACTTGTGTCACACTATACCACTAATAACTATTGTATTACCATAATACAATAGATCTGATGTTACACTATATCCCTAATAAATACCCCTGTTCACCATAGAACTTGTGTTACACTATATCCCTTATAAATACCCCTGTTCACCATAGAACTTGTGTAACCACTATACCCCCCATAACTACCCCTGTCAACAATAGAACTTGTGTTACCACAATACCCCTAATAACTATACCCCTGTCTGCAATACAACTTGTATATGACCACTATACCCCTAACAAATACTCATGTCTACTATAGAACTTGTGTTACCACTATACCCCTAACAAATACTCATGTCAACTATAGAACTTGTGTTACCACTATACCCTTATAACTACCCCTGTCTACAATAGAACTTGTGTTACACCATACCCCTAATAACTATTGTATTACCATAATACAATAGATCTGATGTTACACTATATCCCTAATAAATACCCCTGTTCACCATAGAACCTGTGTTACACTATATCCCTTATAAATACCCCTGTTCACCATAGAACTTGTGTAACCACTAAACCCCTAATAACTACTCCTTTCTAATGTAGAAATTGTGTTAATATTATAACCCTATCATTTAACCTTGTCTACTATATAACTTGTGTTAACCACTTTATCCCTTATAACTAACCCTGCAAAAAAACATCATGTGTAAAGTTGAATTCATGAATAAAAAGTATAACCCTTATGGTAAGATGTTACCAGCCCCTAAACCCAGGGGCCAGACTGTCAAAAATTAACATACAATATGACTAATGTAAAGTTGTTTTGAAATTATCAGGAATGAAAAAATATAATACTCTTAAGCATGTGTTATCCATTGATTCAACTAAATCCCTACCGTGATATTTATGTTATAATAAATTATACACTGAAATAGCTTTCACAGTCTAAATGACAAAAAAAGCATCAAACTTGTTTCCGCCAAAGGTTTCCATATTATGACATGTATTATATCTCCAAAACTGCCAGACTGTCAAAAATTAGCTGTGTCCTGTGCTTCAATAGGCCCACCATACCATAATAAATACGTGTCTTGTCAACCAGAAATGCTTTTAACAGTCTGAAAAACTTAATAACACCCACACACTATTAGTGTGCTCAAAAAAGAGCCTACACACATTTGTAGAATAATCAAATTTAGACTCAATAAGACTTCGTTTTTGACAAGAAAATTATATGGTAAAACTGTTTCTTTGAATAGTAATTATTGATTTGAAACTTCAGCAATTTTTTCCTTGACACAAAATCAATCAAGTGATACAGTGAAATTACACAACAACAAAGAGCATTTAAATTTTCTCTAAACTGAAATTATAAGATGATACCATTTTAACTGAGGTCAAAATCATTAACTTGGAATGGTAGTCAGCAAAATGGTTAATTATA